CATCACAAAATAATTTGAAAGGATAATTAGTAAATAATCAAGTAATTTAAATGCAAAAAAAATCAAAAAATCAATTTTAAAGCCTTAAAATTATGAAAACGAAATTACAGAAAATACTTGTATAACTATTGCAAATTATATTTGATAAGGGTTCTACTTATTTTTATGTGTGATTTTATTTTTCTTCATATATGGATATGTCTTGTGATTATTTGAATACTCCTGTTTGTGTGTCTACGCTTGTTAGGGATTCTATTGTGGTAGACCGGGTATATCGTGCTTGTTTGATCACTATCGAGAGCTATGAGACTTGGATAGACCTTCTATTACTTGATATGGTAGATTTTGATGCGATTTTCAATTTTCATGCCAAGACCGTGACATAAGCCAAGCCGAGGTTGCTTTGATTGGAGTGGAGAGGGACTTCTGGACATTCCACTAGCATGGTCATTTCTTATGTGAAGGTTTGGTGTATGGTCGAGAAGGGGTGTTTGGTATATTTAGCCTATATCCGTGATCCTAGTGCGAAGGTTCCTTCCGTGGATTTGGTTCCAGTTGTGCATGAGTTCCCAGCGGTGTTTGCTATAAATTTTCTGGGGATGCCACATGATAGAGATATCGGCTTCTACATTGATCCGGGCACTCATCCCATCTCTATTCTACTATATCATATGGCCCTAGTTGAGAATTCAAGGAACAGTTGCAGGATTTGCTTGATAAAGGATTCATAGACCATGTCTCTCACCTTAGGCTGAACCGGTGTTGTTTGTGAAGAATAAGAATGGAACGATGAGGATGTGCATAGACTATCGACAGTTGAACAAAGTCACTATCAAGAAAAAGTATCTATTGCCGAGAATTGATGACTTATTTAATCAGCTTCAAGGTACCAAGATTTTTTTGAAGATTGATTTGAGAAGTGGCTACCATCAGTTAAAGATTAGAGCATCGGATGTCCCTAAGATAGCTTTCCGGACTTGGTATGGTCACTATGAGTTCCTAATGATATCATTTGGCTTGACTAATACCCCAATAGCCTTTATGGATTTGATGAACCGGGTATTCAAGCCCTATCTATATTTATTGTCTTCATTGATGATATCTTGGTTTACTCCCGCAATCGAGAGGAGCATGAGCAGAATCTTCGGATCGATCTTCATACTTAAAGGGATCGTTAATTATATTACAAGTTTTCAAAGTGTGAGTTCTAGTTGGACTTGGTTGCCTTTTTGGGCTATGTTGTATCTTTCGAGGGCATTAAGGTAGATCCTAAAAAGATTGAGGTAATTCAGAACTAGCCCAGACCTACTTCAGCTACAGAGATTCGGAGCTTCATGGATTTGGCGGGTTATTATCGCCAATTCATGAAGGGGTTTTCATCTATCTCAGCCTCATTGACCAAGTTGACCCAGAAGGATGCTCTTTTCAGATGGTCCAACGAGTGTGAGTTGAGCTTTCAAAAACTCAAGATTGCATTGACTACAACCCTAGTGTTGGTGTTGCCAACAGGTTTGGGATCCTATACAGTGTATTGTGATACATCGCGTATTAGGATTGGCATGGTATTGATGCAGAATGTTAGGGTGATTGCCTACATGTCGCGGTAGTTGAAGATTCATGAAAAGAATTACCATGTGCATGACTTAGAGTTGGTAGTCATTGTTCACGCACTGAAAATTTTGAGGCACTATTTATACAGCGTTCCATGTAAGGTCTAGATCGACCAATGAAGTCTCTAGCACCTGTACAAGTAGAAAGACCTTAATTTATGGTAGCAGAGATGGTTAGAGTTATGATATTGATGTGCTGTAGAATTTCGGCACAATTGATACCAATCACTTAGATTTTAACTTGTCTTTTAATGCATTTTTAGTTAATTCTGATCAAGTTTGGTTGTTTTGTAGTGCATGAGCTTGAAGACCCGAAAACATGGAAAAGAAGTCAAAATGTCGCAAAAGAATGGATATGTTGCAAGTATGCGGCCGCATAATTCACATGCAGACCGCATAATTCACATGCGGACCGCATAATTCAAATGATGATCGCAAACAGGAACAGACTTATTGGCCAAATGAAGAAGAAAATATGTGATCCATTATGCGGTCGCATAACACTTATGCGAACCGCATAATGGTCGCATAAATCTAGTAGAAGAAAGTTCTCACCATGATATGCGATGGCATATGTGGTCGCATAACACATATGTGGACCGCATAATTGGTATGCGACTGAAGCATGAACTGGGAACTTAGCAAGTCTGCGATGGAATGAAGAATATGCGGACCGCATAAGTGGTCTGTGACCATTATGCGATCGCATAAGTTACCTGAAGGGGTATTTTTGTCTGATTTTGACCACAACTTTTGGTCCACTATAAAGAGAATAACTAGGAGTTTTGTGGGTCATTGAAGTCTGAAACAAGGTCCTACTTAGAGAGCACTGAATACTCCATTTATTTGGAAGGTTGTGAAGAAGAAATCTTGCACTTTTGTAAGCTTTATGGTTTTATTAAACACTTTGTTCTTGTATTTTAGCATGAGTAGCTAGTCTAAATACTAAGGTTGTGGACCCTAGATGAGTGTAATGTTAATGGGTGTTTAATATTGAATATGTATGATGGTTGATTGATATTTATTCAATTCTTGTTCTTTATTTATGATTGGTGGTTGAAAACATTAATCTATTCCATTTTACTCTTTCTTTACTTGGAAAAGTGAGTTAGGGTTTGGTAGAATTGAATATCAAGAACTCAAGACTTTAAATCTTGTTTAATTGAATCGCTTAGGAATAAGTGGGTTCTACTTGGCATAAATTAGTTGTTCTTAAGTTGCAACTCTTTTATATTTGGAAAAATCATAAAGAGAAAATACTACCCAACCATTGAAAAATATTGGGTAGTCATTTAGAAATCATTTAAATATCAAAGGACCTTCCATTAGAAATATATCATATTAACACCGATAGCATTATATTCTATTGACGGGGACACAACCGTGGTTTCCATAGTCAAATCATTTACATTCTCATATAAAAATTAGTTACCTCTTTAATTCACAATCATATCATTCTCTTGTTACATTAACGGAATAGAATTACGACCTAAGTTAAGATCCACACTACTAAAGTAAACTTTTCACACCATATTCCCTGTGTGATTCGACCCCAACCTTGTTGGGTTATTATATTTGAAACCGACCGCCTTACATTATTTAATTAAAGTGTAATTTGAGCATATCAAATTTTGGCACCGTTGTCGTGGACTACGGTTTTGAAATTACTAATTAGTGTGTGCTTTACTTTACGTCTTCTTCTATTCCATCACACTTTGCTTGTTTTGCTTGGTGTTGATAGGAAAACATGGCTAAATATGAGGAAGAAGAAAATTCTTTTGCGGACATAGATGAGTACATTGAGGATACAAATGCTATTGTACCTCTGATAGTTGGCGCTGCCACTTTCAAGGTGGAACATAGTTTAATCGTAATTCTCAAAGCGGAGAGGTTTTTCAGGAATTCCACTGATGATGATCCGACACAACATCTTAGAAACTTCTTGGGTGTGTGTGTGATGCACAAGCAGAACAATGTCTCATATGATGCCCTAAGGTTGAGGGTGTTCAAGTACCCACTGGCTGGGGAAGCACGGAAATGGCTTCAAAATTTGCCACCAAATTCCATTTATTCTTGTCCTAAACTTGTCCGAGCATTCTTAGCTAAATGGTTCCCGCAAAGCAAGAAATCTGAGCTCCGGGATAAATTTTTCTTTTTCAAGCAACTACCGGGAGAACATCTACATGAGTCATAGGATCGATTCAAGTTATACTTGGTGAGGTCACCTAATCATGGTTTTCCGGATTCTATCTTGTTGGAGAAATTCTACATGGGTTTAGATGCTATGAATTAATCAATAGCCAAGAATGCAGCTGATGGATCTTTTATGGATAAGATATTTGCAAGGATCACACAAATCCTTGATAAAATGGCAAAACATAACCAAGCTTGGCACTCAAAGGGACACCACAGGTGGAATTGCATATGGTACTCCCTCCTTGACCAACATGATTAAGGAGAACCAAGAAAGAGATCAAGTAATTGTAGAGATTGCCATCAATGTCAATGTGTTGACAAAAATGTCCACTGAAAGCCAAACGAAAGGTAAATATGGTGGAAGATCCTCATCAACTGAAGATTATGAGGAAACAAACTACGTCAACAACTCTTAAGGAGGCTATCAAAGGCAACAATACCAAGGTCAAGGGCAACAAAATCAATGGAGGCCTAACCCGAAAGGGCAAGGCAACTAACAGTGGCGAAATGACCAAGGTAGCTCAAATCAAGGGAATTGGAATAACAACAACATCAACTTATCAAATCGGTGTTCAAACCCTTATGTTCCACCAAAGGGGAAATATTCAAATCAAGGTTCCTCAAGTGATTCCAAGTTGGAAACATGCTTAAACGGGTATTGCAAAATCAAGAAAGGTCTGACACTTCTATGAGGAATATGACCGAGCTTGCTGGTTCTCATACTGCATCCATTCAAAAATTGGAGATGCAAATGAGAGATCTCTCTAGGGAACAAAATACAAAGCAAAAGGGGACACTTCCAAGTGATACAATTGCAAACCCAAAGGGTAGTCAGAGTGGTCCAACTTCTCATTGCATGGAAATTACTAGTCAGAGTAGGAAGGTACTTCAAGGAGAGAGTGAACAAGTGGTTGAAGTGGAAGAGTCCGAACAAGAGGTTGAGGCACAAGTTGAAGAGCCAATTGTTGTTGAAACTAAAAAGGTCCCGGAAGAGTTAAAGTTCAAGAAGTGAATCGGGAAGAGGTTAAGGAAAAGGTAAAAGAGACACCAAAGGCTCTACCACCTAATCCTAGACCTCCTCCTCCTTTCCCTCAAAGACTTGCTAGGAAGGTTGATGATAGCAAACTCAAAATGTTCTATGACATTCTCAAACAGTTATCGATAAATATCCCATTTGTGGAAACATTTCAAGAGATGCCGGATTTTGCTAAGTATTTGAAAGACTTGATCACAAAGAAGAAAACCACCAAGAATGGAGTGGTGAATGTGACTCACCGAGTTAGTTCCATCATTGCAACAACAACCGTTCAAAAGAAAGAAGACCCTGGAGCTTTCATCATTCCATGCACTATTGGGGCGCATGATTTTGCAAGAGCTCTTTGTGATAATGGGGATAGCATCAACTTAATGCCTCTTGCTATTTACAAGCAAGCGGGGTTAGTTATGCTGAGGCCTACAAGTATAAGGCTGCAAATGGTTGATCGTTCCATAAAGAGACTGGTGGGAATTGTCGATGATGTGCTTGTAAAAGTGGGAGAGTTCCATTTGCATGCCGATTTTGTAATCCTTGATTGTGCAGTTGACAAAGAGATCCTTATCATCTTAGGGAGGCCATTTCTTGCTAGAGGAAGAGAACTTATGGATTCAGAACAGAATGAGATCAAGTTCTGTGTGAATGATGAAGAGGTCACATTCCAAGAAAGCAAGGGTATGAAGCTGCCACATGAATATGAAAGCATCTCGGTGATTGATGTTGTTGATGAGGTGGAAGATGCAGTTGAAATAAAGATGGAAGAATAATGCCTCGGTGAGGCGTTGGTGGCTATTTTGGTAAATTTCGATGGTGAAGATATGGAAGGGTACATGAAATCAGTAAATGCATTGGAAGGGCTTGGGTCCTACACTTATGCTCCAAAGAAACTCTTTATCGAATTAGAAAATAGAGCCACTCCTCCCGCAAAACCTTCAATTATTGAGCCACCGCAACTAGAGCTCAAACCACTTCCACCGCACTTGAGGTATAAATTTCTTGGCTCTAATGACACTCTACCGTAATCATTTCTTCTTTGTTGAATGATGTGCAGGTAGAACAATTGTCGAATGTCTTGAGGGAGCATAGGCAAGCTATTGGGTGGACAATAGTGGACATCCGAGGGATTCCCGCCAGAATTTGCGAACACAAGATACAATTGGAGAATGAGAGTAAACCAAGTGTGGAGCATCAATGAAGGTTAACCCCTTCCATGCAGGAGGTGGTAAAGAAAGAAATCATCAAGTGGTTGGATGTCGGGGTAGTCTACCCCATTACCGATAGTTCTTGGGTGAGTCCGGTGCAATGATTTCTGAAAAAGGGAGGCATGACCGTGATTGAAAATGATAGAAATGAGCTCATCCCAACAAGAACAGTGACTGGATGGAGGGTTTGTATAGATTACCGAAAGCTAAACAGTGCTACGTGCAAGGACCATTTCCCTATGCTTTTTATTGATCAAATGCTTGATCGACTAGCGGAAAGGTCATTCTACTGCTTCTTGGATGGATATTCCGGCTACAACCAAATCAGTATTGCATTGGAAGATCAGGAAAAGACAACATTCACTTGTCCATATGGGACGTTTGTGTTTAGCCGGATGCCATTTGGGCTATGAAACGCTCTGGCTACTTTCCAAAGGTGCATGATGTCAATCTTCTCAGACATGGTGGAAGATTTCTTAGAGGTATTCATGGAAAATTTCTCTGTCGTGGATGATTCTTTTGAGCATTGTCTAGACAACCTTATACAAGTGCTCAAAAGATGTGAAGAAACAAACCTTGTGCTATATTGGGAGAAATGCCACTTCATGGTGGACAAGGGCATTGTTTTGGGCCAAATATTTTCCAAACAAGGCATAGAGGTTGACCGGGCAAAGATCGAGATCATTTCCAAGCTTCCTCTACCTACTTCAGTTAAAGGTGTCCGAAGTTTTTTGGGGCATGCCGGCTTCTATAGGTGTTTCATCAAGGACTTCTCCAAAATTGCAAATCCCATGTGCAAACTCCTTGAGAAAGATGAAAAGTTCGTATTTGATGAGAAGTGCCTCAAAGCTTTAAGGAATTGAAAGAAAAGCTCACCACAGCACCTATTATTGTCACACCTGATTGGTCTCTTCCATTCAAACTCATATGTGATGCTAGTGGTGTAGCTATTGGGGCAGTGCTTGGCTAACGTCATAACAAGATTCTTCAACCTGCCTATTATGCAATCAGGACACTCAATGGAACTCAAATGAATTACACTGTGACTGCGCAAGAACTTCTTGCCATTGTCTATGCTTTTGAAAAATTCCGGGCTTATTTGTTGAGGACCAAAGTGATAGTATACATCGACCATGCTACTCTTCGCTATCTTATGTTGAAGAAGGATGGCAAACCAAGATTGATTCGGTGGGTCCTTTTGTTGCAAGAATTTGACTTTGAAGTCAAGGATCGGAAAGGGATGTAAAATCAAGTTGCGGATCACCTATCTATGCTTGAAGAAGCAGGGAGACCAAAATAAGACCTTAAAAATAATGATGTTTTTCTAGATGAACACATATTGGCATTGTCTAACACATTTACTCCTTGGTATGCCGACATTGCTAACTTCTTGGTTAGTGACCTTGTTCCCGATGGATTGGAAGCTTATCAAAAGAAAAAGTTCTTGCGGGAGTGTAGGCATTACTATTTGGAGGAACCCTTTTTGTTCCGTATTTGTGTCGACAACATTATCCGGTGGTGTGTTTCGGAGTATGAGGTAATGTCAATTCTTAAGGCATGCCATGATTCACCGGTTGGGGGTCATCATGGAGGAAATTGAATGGCGACAAAAGTGTTTGAATGTGGCTACTATTGGCCAACGATCTACTAGGATGCAAATCAAATGGTCAATGCATGTGACCAATTTGAAAGACAATGGTCAATATCTAAAATACATGAGATGCCGATGAATTTTGTATTAGAAGTTGAAATGTTTGATGTGTGAGGGATAGACTTTATGGGCCCCTTCGTGAGCTCATATAGCATGACCTATATCTTGGTAGTTGTGGACTATGTCTCTAAATGGGTCGAGGCAATCGCCTTACCTAACAATGAAGCAAGGAGTGTAACCGCACTTTTAAAGAAGAACATATTCACACGGTTTGGTACTCCAAAGGCCATCCTGGGTGATGGTGGGTCTCATTTCTGCAACAAGGCTTTCACCGGGGTGCTTGAAAAATATGGTGTAAATCACAAGGTGGACACACCCTATCATCCTCAGTCGAGTGGTCAGGTTGAAGTTTCGAACAGAGAAATCAAAAACATCCTAGCAAAAATTGTCAATGCAAACAGGATCGACTGGTCAAGGAAGCTAGATAATGCATTTTAGGCATATTACACAGCATTTAAGACCCCCATTGGTACTTCACCGTACAGATTGGTTTTTGGCAAAGCTTGTCACTTGCCAGTGGAACCATAACACAAAGCCATGTGGGCATTGAAGAAGCTGAATCTTGACTGGGCCGAGGCTGCTAACCTGAGGATGACACAACTCAATGAGACAGACGAATTTCGTCTCCATGCTTATGAGAGTGCAACCATCTACAAAGAGATGATGAAGTTTGTCCATGATAAGAAGATCTTGAAGCGGGAGTTCAATTCTGGTGACTTGGTCTTACTCTTCAATTCAAGACTCAAGTTATTTCCAGGTAAACTTAAGTCTAAATGGCCTGGCGCATTCAAAGTTGTGAGTGCGTCTCCCTATGGTGCTATTGAACTGGAGCCAGAGGATAGGACTCGAACTTTCAAGGTGAATGGACAACGAATCAAGCATTACCTTGGTACTGCAGGAGAAAGGCATTTGATAGAAAAATTTGCTCTAAGGGATAGTCCAATAGCAGCTTCCACCAAGGAATAATCTAAAAGAGTCAATTGCATCGTGTCGTGACCTTAAATCAAGTGCCTATTGGGAGGCAACCCATGTGTAGTAACACTCTTTTGTAGTTTTTTTTATTATTTACGTAGATTAGATTGAGCAAGTTGACGTGTGTGCTAGATTGCAGGTAAAATATCATGAATAGGGTCCTAGTGCTGAAGAAACTGAAGGAAATAGAGGTCCAGATGGAGCGACAACTATGCGGTCACATAATCAATATGTGAACCGCATAGTCATCGGAGACGCAGGCAGAAAATATGGCTACTTTAGTCGTCAACTATGCGGTATATTTTTCATTTATGCGGCCCGCATACCCACTTTAAAATCACATTTTGCATCGCAAAGTGTATCTAGGATGCCCAATCTTCAATTCACCGCATAACACTTATGCGATCGCATAATTTGTTATGTGATGAACTTAAGCGCTGCATATCTGCCAGGTATAAACCCTAACCCACTCTCTGCACATACTCACATTTGAACAAAAACAAGAAAAACCAAAGGGAATTCATTTCTAAACTACAAGAGTTTATATACAAACATGGGTTACAACACAATATTTACATAAAACATGGGGTACAATATCATGATCATAACTACCCCAGCCCCAGCCAAAGATCATGTATTGTCCCCAATGCATATATAAAGTAAAAGAAAGCTTGGAGACTCCCTAGAGCACATTAGGTGCTCGAGGAAGCTGAAGGATCTGGGAGCTGTGGGATCGGCTACTGGTGCTAGCGAATGTACAATTTCTGTCTGCACAGCTGCTTCCTCTTCATCCTCTGCCCTTGTAGAGATAACAACATGTTTACCCTTGTCTTGATGACCCTTAGTATCCTTACCCAGTGCCTCTTCATCCGTCTCTTCATCTCCTGACTCCCCCTCATAGGACTCCTCAGTATCTCCAGATGCCTCATCTGAAGGAACAACAATGTGAGTAGGAGGAGTTTGAGCCTTGGAGGTCTCAACATGATGTGCCTCTTGGGCTATCATCAGGGTCGTGAAATCAATATCCATTCTTGGGACGGAAGTGTCAGCACCCTGCTTGCCTTCCTTTGGGAGGAAAGGTGTCAAGTCAAACTCTAGGCTATGCATCTTTTGCAGCTCATCTTTCAAATCATCCGCATCTTTCCGAAGCTGAGGCATACCTCCAACCTCACCCCTCTCAACCTTCTCAAGACGTGCTTCAACATGCTTGAGGCGATCCTCATAAGTTTGATGTTACTGCTGAAGAGTAGTCACTGAGGATTTGATAGGAGTCAATGCTTGCCGGATGAGATTGGGAATTTCCTTGATTAGCCGGTCTACCTTAGCATTGTCATACTGTGCAAGTAGACCCAGCTTGGAAGAGCTAGTAAAGGGACCTGGGCCTGTGTAGTAGAGGGTTGTGGAGTGGCTGTGGAGGTAGCTGGGGCCTAAGAGGTGTCCGGCAGTGCTAGGACCTCTAATGTTGCTATATCTGCTGGAGGAGGAATGTGAGTCTCTAACTGAGTTGCAGTTTCCTTTGCTACCATGTCACTGATTCTCATGATGTCAATGTCTTTGAGAGCCTTCGCCATTTTGTCATGCTTAGGCAGAGGAGGCACACTTGCTGCTTGGCAAAGAGCAGTGATCAAGCAGGGGGACGGAAGTGATGTTTGTTTCTGGTTGGCTCTGATTCCCAGCTCTTGGAATATTGTCTCTCCCACATCAATCTTGATGCTTGTCATACATGATCTTTGGTTGGGGTGGGGTAGTTATGATCATGATCTTGTACCCCATATTTTGTGTAAATATTGTGTTGTACCCCATGTTTGTATATAAACTCTTGTAGTTTAGCAATGAATTCCCTTTGGTTTTTCTTCGCCGGGTTCTTTTCCAAGGGTGCAACAGTAGAACCACGGCAGTAGCATGAAATGTTTTGACTTATTTGGTGTTGACTGTGTAGCTTCAAGCGTGTGCTAAATGTTGTAAATATATGATACCCTTCCTTCTTTTGAAAATATAAATAATACATAATATGTTGGTTAGCCATTCTTGTGAATTTGAGGCTCACTCTTTGACTTTATGCTTAATTCAGAATCTTACATATTTTGAGATGAAAGTGTTGAGTTGCCTTGTTTCACTTGAGGGTTGAAACTATGTTGAGTTGAATAATTCATTTGTTATGAGTGAGTGAGAATTTGTATAAATAATGCACATGTCTAACTTGTGATGTCTAGAACTTGCCCGGTTGGTTTCTTAGTTGACTCTCAGGTTAATGATTGGATGTTGAAATGATCATAGGCCCTCCTTGTGACTACTAGCCAATTTTGCCTAAATTGACCTCCCTGATATATTAAATACCCTAGTTACCCCCTTTGAGCCTTTAACCTTTCATTGGCTACCACATTACAAACCTTTACCCCTTCTGTTAAGTAATTCCTTCTTTTGAACCCAACCCTCCTTGAACGTGTGAGATTGAGGCTAAAAGCCTAAGTTGGGGGTGTCGTTATAAAGTGGAAATTGGCAAAGTTTGCTACTGTGTGTATAATAAAAAATAAAAATAAAAAAAATAATAACCTCAAAGTTGTGTATATAACAAAATTCAAGCTCCAAAAAGAAAAGAAAAAAAAAAGAGAAAAAGAGAGAAAAGAGAAAAAGAGTGGAGTCTTGTAGAACTTGAAGAAATACTTTGAGGTGGTTCTAGGTTGGTAACCCCAGGTAAATAGGGGCTATGTAGTAAAAGAGCATAACGTATGTAGAGTTCAAAGAGGGTATAACCACTACATTCCTAAATATTCATCCAACCCATCTCGAAGCCTATATTATAACCCATGAAAAGTCCTTAGTGATCTATGGTCAATCATTCCTGAGATAGCGGCAAAGCTAAAATAAGGGCAAGCATATGGACTGATACTTGTAGCATGTAGCTTTTGTTCCGAGTGTTAGCGTATATATGTGAGTGTGGATTTTATTTGTTGTGAGTGCACATGAATTGTAAGACTTAGCAGAAGATAGGTTCTTGAAGTAGAATACAAGTGCACTTAGTTGTGAATAGCATTTTGTCATTTTGGTCGAGGCTCTAAGGTCACGAATTGATTAGGCGAATAGTTGAATGATAAGTTGTCTTCCAGGAAGGGTAAATAAATGGGGTTACATGCTTATTAGCTATCAGTTAAAACCATCTATAGTCATTACTCTTTTGTGAAATGTCGAAAATAAAAGTAGTATAGAATAAGATAATTTTGTTTTAGTTGCTTGAGGACAAGCAAGAATTTAAGTTGGGGGTGTTGATGTGCCATAGAATTTTGGCACAATTGATACCAATTGCTTAGATTTTAACTCGTCTTTTAATGCATTTTTTGTTAATTTTGATCAAGTTTGGTTGTTTTGTAGTGCATGAGCTTGAAAACCCGAAAACATGGAAAAGAAGTCAAAATGTTGCAAAAGAATGGATATGTTGCAAGTATGCGGCCGCATAATTCACATACGGACCGCATAATTCAAATGGTGATCGCAAATAGGGACAGACTTATTGGCCAAATGAAGAAGAAAATATGCGGTCCATTATGCGGTCGTATAACACTTATGCGAGCCGCATAATGGTCGCATAACTTCAGTAGAAGAAAGTTCTCACCATGATATGTGATGGCATATGCGATCGCATAACACACATACGGACCGCATAATTGGTATGCGACTGAAGCAGGAACTGGGAACTTAGCAAGTCTGCGATAGAATGAAGAATATGCAAACTGCATAAGTGGTTTGTGACCATTATGCGATCGCATAAGTTACCTGAAGGGGTATTTTTGTCCGATTTTGACCACGACTTTTGGTCCACTATAAAGAGAACAACTAGGATTTTTGTGGGTCATTGAAATCTGAAACAAGGTCCTACTTAGAGAGCATTGAATACTCCATTTATTTGGAAAGTTGTGAAGAAGGAATCTTGCACTTTTGTAAGCTTTATGACTTTATTAAACACTTTGTACTTGTAGTTTAGCATGAGTAGCTAGTTTTAAATACTAAGGTTGTGTATCCTAGATGGGTGTAATGTTAATGGGTGTTTAAGATTGAATATATATATATATATATANGCATAAATTGGTTGTTCTTAAATTGCAACTCTTTTTTATTTGCAAAAATCATAAAGAGAAAATACTACCCAACCATTGGAAAATATTGGGTAGTCATTTAGAAATCATTTCCATATCAAAGGACCTTCCATTAGAAATATATCATATTAACACCAATAGCATTACATTTTATTGTCGGGGCCACAACCTTGGTTTCCTTAGTGAAATCATTTACATTCTCATATCAAAATTAGTTACCTCTTTAATTCACAATCATATCATTCTCTTGTTAGGTTAACGGAATAGAATTATGACCTAAGTCAAGATCCACAGTACTAAAGTAAACGTTTCACACCATATTCCATGTGGGATTCGACCCCAACCTTGTTGGGTTATTAGATTTGATATAGACAGTCTTACACTATTTAATTAAAGTGTAATTTGAGCGTATCAGATATCCCCATATTTTATCATCTATGGAAGGCCAATATACCATATTATATCATCTATGGAAGGCCAATATAGTGGCCGATGCATTGAGTAGGAAAGCTGACAGCATAGGTAGTTTGGCATATTTATCGGCAGTGGAGAGGCCACTATCCATGGATGTCCAAGCCTTGGCCAATCGATTTGAGAGATTGGATAATTTGGAGCCTAGTTGGGTTGTTGCTTCTGTTGTGGCATAGTCCTCATTGTTGGAGGGTATCAAGGTTCTCCAGTTTAATGATCCTCACTTATTGGTATTGAAGGACACGGTGCAGCAGGGTGGTTCTAAGGAGGCTATGATTGGAGATGATGATGTTATGTGGCTTCAAGGCTGGTTTTGTGTTCCAAATGTAGATGGGTTGAGAGAGTTGATCCTTGAGGAGGCCAACAATTCGCATTTGTAATGACCTGGCTGGTCGTTTTATGTATTTAGACTCATTCCCCTATTTTATCACT